GCAGCTGTTTTCTCCCATTCAGTAGGTTGTCTTTTCATTTTGTTGATGGTTTCCTTCACTGTACGAAAAAGAAGCAAACACTTAAAACCTTAAGGGACCTTAAATAGCTAATTCAGTGTTTCTCAGAGGGTATTAATGGTAATATGGGGATGATCATAAGTGTTAACATGAGTGAACTTTTAAATTTTATGTGTTTAAGCGCATCAGCCTGTGATTTCACAAGTAGTAAATTTAGGTAAAGAAAGATATTGAGTGAAGTATTTCACTGGTGGAGCAGAAATCATGACAGTGTATACGTGAACAACGTATGCTGAGGAGACACCCAGTCACTGTAAAAGTGGAAACACAGGAGGCCAGGCTATGAAGTGTCGCATCTAAAGATACACAAGGACCAGAGCTCAGGGCTCCTGCCTCCACTCTTAGGTGGGTTTCCCTCCACCACATTTTTTCCCTGGCTGCGTCCTTTACCTGCAGAGGAACTGAAAATAGATCACCTCCTTTTCCTTCTTCCACAAAAGAGGAAGGGGCATCCTCAGTTGGATTCTCTTACAAGGTTATCTGAAGGGATTCTCAGTTTGTTAAAAAGGAAGTTTATAAAGTAAGTAGCGGACATGTGTTGAATGGTTGTGGAGATACAGAGAGTCTCCTATTTCTTGGTTATAGGCCTTTGCTTGATATAGTCAGCTGAAGCCAGGGGACTGGTCACCTGGTATAATACAGCTCCTTAAGTCCTCCCCTTCAGCCAAGACTCTTTAAGTATTTGTTTATTTTTTACTTTTGGCCGTGCCCCACGGCATGTGGGATCTTAGTTCCCTGACCAGGGATTGAACCTGCACCCCCTGCGTTGGAAGTGTAGAGTCTTAAACACTGGACTGCCAGGGAAGTCCCAAGACACTTAAGTATTAATAGAATCTCTTAGAAGGAGGTGGGGGTGGGAAGCCCTGGCATAGCCTTTCGAGAAACAAGGGTATACTATTAGCTGGTGCCCTAGCACCTGGGTAATCTCCAAAGTGCCTGTGTTCTAGGTGCTTAGCAGAGCAGGTGACCCTGATCCCTGATGACCTAGGCAAATCTCATCATGTCTCTCAATTCTGAACTCTTCGCTCCTGACAGCAGGTGTGCACTGGGGCTACGAGGAGACCAAGGCCTTCCTGACCATCCTCAGTGAGTCTCCATTCTCCGAGAAGCTTCGCACCTGTCACCAGAACAGCCAGGTGTACCGGGCCATCGCAGAGCGGCTGTGTGCACAGGGCTTCCTGAGGACCCTGGAGCAGTGTCGCTACAGGTTCAAAAACCTGCTTCGAAGCTACCGGAAAGCCAAGAGCAGCCACCCGCCTGGGGCCTGCCCCTTCTATGAGGAGCTGGACTCGCTGATGAGGGCTAGGACTGCGGTTAGAGACGTGGGGACCAGCAGGGAGGCAGCAGGCCTCCCTACTTCTGATCAGAGCGGTACCCAGGTTGTCAGCCAGGAGGCTTGGGACGGGATGGCAGGTGAAGATGTCATCAGACCTCCAACCCCAAGTCCTAAAACCTCAGACACTGGTAATTTTTTAGTAATTAGATTGTCCACAGAATCTGTAAGTGCATAGAGAGTGTGGGAGCCAGGCTCATTAATTTTTCTCTGAACAGAAAAAGGGAATAGAATTGAATAAGAAAAGGATTTGTGTTTTCCTGAGATTATCCAGTCTCTGGCTTAGAGTAATTCCCCAGATGAAAAAAGCAGTTGGTCTAGATTTTTACTTGGATCCATCTGGGCAATTATAGAGTTTTTTCAATCTCATATGACACAGGCCAGACTGAATATACCAGGAACAGGAGGTGTTCCTTGTTCAGCAGTGGAATAGGGTGGTTGGCTAAGGGGACTGACAGCTGGCTGCTTGGGCTGGGCTCAGTGGTTCCTTTGGTGGAGTTACCACGTCTCAGACCACATTCCTAAGCTTAACAAGTCAGAAATGCATGTGTGCACCAAAACCTGATCAGTTTTATGTTGGTCACATTTATAAGATGTGAGATGTAAGACACAAGTACAAATTCAGGTCAGCCAAATTCACAAGATGCAAGATTCAGATGTATAAACAGACACTAACTAATGAATGCATTTCTATCCATTCTCCAGGTTTTGAGATGAGGTGTGAAAATGAAGACCAGATTTCAGAGCAGGACCTTTTTGCAGATTTGCCTGGAGCCTTATCAAAATGCACTACTGAGGATGATTGCTACCCTCACGATTGGGGGCAAGACAGTGAAAATGAAAATGAAGGTAAAGGACAGTGGGGAGATCCATCCCAGGAGCAGTGGGAAGAGTGTTCTTCTGAAGAGGACTTAGAAAAGCTCATCGACCACCAAGGCCTGTACCTTGCAGAGAAGCCCTACAAGTGTGACATGTGCATGAAAACCTTCCTCCGGAATTCACAGTTAACCACCCACCAGCGGATACACACAGGTGAGAAGCCCTACAAATGCTTCGAGTGCGGGAAAAGCTTTAGTGACCGCTCCAACTTCAACACCCATCAGAGAATCCACACTGGAGAGAAGCCCTACGAATGCCTTGAATGTGGGAAAAGCTTCAGTGACCTCTCCAATCTTATCACCCACCAGGAAACACACACGAAGGTAAAGCCCTATAAATGTGAGGAATGTTGGGAAGGCTTTACCCAGAGCTCAGACCTTCTGAAACATCAGGGAATCCACTTGGGAGGAAATCCTGACCACTCTCCTGAGCCTGGGGAAAACTTGGGCCAGACCCCATCTTTCAGTGCTCACTGGAGGAACTCCACAGAGGGGACAGATCCTGAACAAGCTCACAGTGCCAGTAAGAGTGCGAATTCTCCTGGACCGCAAAGCACCCATGCAGGGGAAAAGCTGTGTCAGTGTTCTGAATGTGGAAGAAGCTTCTCTAAAAGCTCTGCCCTCATCAGTCACCAAAGAATCCATACAGGAGAGAAACCGTTTGCATGTGCTGAGTGTGGGAAAAGCTTCAGTAAGAGCTCCACGCTGGCCAACCACCAGCGGACCCACACTGGGGAGAAGCCATACGAGTGCATGGACTGTGGGAAATGCTTTGGGGAGCGTTCCAAGCTCATCACACACCAGAGGGTGCACACAGGAGAGAAGCCCTACAAATGCCTCGAGTGCGGAAAGTTCTTCCGTGACCGCTCCAACCTCATTACCCACCAGAGGATCCACACGGGAGAAAAGCCTTACAAGTGCAGAGAGTGTGGGAAATGCTTCAACCAGAGCTCCAGTCTCATCATTCACCAGCGAATCCACACCGGGGAGAAACCCTACAAGTGTACACAGTGCGGCAAAGATTTCAACAACAGCTCCCACTTCAGTGCCCACCGGAGAACCCATGCAGAAGGGAAGGCCTCATAGGAAACACTGCCCCCCACAGCAAAAGAGAGAGAAACCTATGTTGAAATCTTCCAAGATCCTGAGATGTATGCTAGAAAGAAGCTGTCCTAATTTTTAAGCTTGGTGTGTACCCAAGGGACATTATCATGGTACCATCCAGGTAATTTGGAAGTGAATTACAAACCCTTAGGATCCAGATTAGAAGGCACTTTCTTTTAAGTATAATGTGTTTTTCTCCTGTAGGAAAAAACCGCACATAATCCTCAGGCTGTCCTTATATTTGCTGTCATGTGAGAGCTTTATCAGTCTTGGAGCCAGACTGGTAGCTGAGGAGATTAGAGGTAAATTGTTGGCCCTGAGCAGTGATTCGAGACCTTCCTGTGCCTTCACACCGTCCCCATGTGCACATGCCTCATCGGTGTACATTGGCAAATTCTCACCCATGGCAGTTTTCCACTGGGGCGTAACAACCTGGGAGAATTTTGAGACCCTCCAGTGAGAGGGGACATAATTGAGAATCAATGGCCTAGAGCAGGGGGCGAGCTTATCAAAGGGTGGAAACAACTGTGACATCATTACTAGATCATTATAATAGTAGCAAAAAAGTAGCCAGTGTTCCCTGAGCTTTTCAGCAGGCTCTGGGCTAAGCACTTTATATGCATCATCTCATCTACTCAGAGCAGCCCCAGGAGGTACTAATATTTCTCTCATTTCCCAGAAGAGAAGAGTGACTTGCTTGTGTCACACATCTGAAAATGGCAGAGACAGGATTCGGCTACAGCTGCCTCTGGGGCCTGAGGTGCTCTCACCGCTACACTTTCCCTTTGGGGCAGGTAACTCAGGTGCCAAAGCACTTTGTAGACCACGTGTTCAGTTAAAATTCCCTACGAATTCAATTTTTAACAAATATGGACATAGAGAATCCTAGCCAATTGAAGGACTGGGGATGTTCAGAACCAGCAATGTGCTTTGAGCAAGGCTGAGCTCTTATTGAAGCACTTGATAAGACTTTCCATCTTCACAATAATACGGGTGAGAGATAGAGGCGAGATGAGATTGGGAAAAGTAAGGTAGTCAAAGTGACGTCTCTTCCACTGAGCTGCTGTTTGGGCTACGGGAATGGGGTTTTTAAGAACTTCGCTTTTTCTCAGGAGATCAATCCTGCCTCCCATAAGACTCGGCTCGATCAGAGGTTAAACCGTGAGAAACCTGGGCTTCCTGGACAGTGCTTTCTCTCCCCTGTGTGTTTGCCTCCCGGCTCCCTCTCTCTTGGCATGGAAGAAGCTTTGTGCCAAGGCTGAGGCAGAAGGGGGTAAAAGGAGTCAGTGGGTGTGGAGCGCTGTGGAGGGGACTTTGGTCTTGATTCCAGGCTGATGGTGCAGTTTCACTCAGCCATCTCATCCCAGGCCTGCGCAGTGCTTTCTAAATGTTGGCCTTAAAGAGCTGCCTCCCACACCAGGAGACTGCATCAGAAAGCTTCACACAGGATGGTTTTTTTTAGTTCTCAGCACTTTGACCTCCAGGCTTTCTCCTTAGGAGGGTTTTAAAGTGCTAGCCAAGGACTATGGTTTGCAAAGGATTTTGAAGGAGGTTCCTTCTAACACCCACCTATTGATACTTTGCTGCCATGCATACTCTGGCTGGTCATGAACCTGGGAAATGCTATTAAATTAGATAGTAGATGTGAGGGACCCTCAGAGAAAGGAACTCTGTTCACATGTGAGGCAGTCAGGCGGAGACATGGATCATTCCTTAGCCCGTTTCTCAGCTTCCCAAGAACCAGCTCACCTCAGTCACTACCTGTCCCCGCTCTTTCTGGCTTACCTTACCTGCCTCACCTTACCTCTGAGGAGCAGGGCCCATGGGTGAGCCCTGGCTTTGAACCAGCAGATGTCAGTAACTGCAACAGTAAGATGATGGGTAAGGTGCCCCCTGAGCCAAGAGAAAGGACCCCGGAGGAGGGGCAGGGACGTCCAGGGAAAGGCCTGGGGGTGTGAACCAGCATGGCTTCAGGTGGGGCTTCTTAGCTACTTAGCTACTATTGAGGCCTCAAATGGGAGGCAGGAAGTGGTGGGAGTGCCGGTTGGAGGGATGCGGGGGCCAGGGTCACGGAGGACCTCGTGGCTGCGTGGAGCTGGGACGCCAGGCTGAGGGGTGCCTGGTCAGATGTGCATTGTTGAAACCTAATAGCTGGACAGAGCCTGGACGTGCCGCAGTTAGGACAGACTGTTGGAGCACTATCACGATGTTCCAGTTAGACGTGAGGCTCTGAGCTAGAGCAGTGGTGACAGAGCTGAGGGCAGCAGTGGAAAGCGGGACTGCCTGGGTGGCTGTTCAGCCTGCCCTTGTTGAGGATGGACCACAGGAGGAGGTGCAGACGAGCAGGAGGGCAGAAGGCTAATTTGGGACAATTTGAACTTGTACCTGAGGGACACCCAAGAGGCAATACACAGCAGGTCTGAAGCTGGGGGGAGGTTAGGACTAGAGAGTTAGCTGTGTGCGTGGGAGGTTACATTCATGTTCAAGTCGGAGAAATGCTGGCTACAGACAGAACTTCAGGAGCATTGTGTGTGGAGGAAGATGCCCCTCAAAGGAGGTCTGGACCAGTCCCCAGCCCTACCACCTCGCAAGCTCCAGCCACCTTGCAGACACTGCGTCAGTCGCTGCTGAATTCTCAATGTGATTCTGAATTTTCTGGAACCTTCCCTGTGGAAGCCAGGCTGAGCTCTGTAGAAGTGAGGTGGTAGCCCCCTCCCCCTCGAGTGTCACCCGTTCCCCTGTTCTTGGAAGCAGACTGGTGTCTGATCTTCTCAGGGGGACAGTTTTGATGTTTGTGATCTGTGGCTCGCATCTCTAAACTGTAGCCGTGAAATGGGAGGGCAGTGTGGGGCAGGAGAGAACGTGGCCTGGGGAGACCGCCTCTCCTTGTCCCTGACTCTGCCTCTGGAAGAAGTTTGCATTCGGGTGGCTCCCATGTTTGGGGCCCGCCCCATCCCTCTTCCAGGGTGCTTAGACAACCTCCAGCAGGTCTTGGCTGCTCACGTAGACCAACAGCTGGTTTGATACACCGTGAGCCTTCTTACCTCAGATCTGCTCTTGGGAAGGAGAGTCACTCTGAGGAATGAGCGGTTTCTCAGCCTGCGTGACCACAGGTCACACCCTGGTCATGGGAAGTGGAAGTGGTGACTGCCTCCCCGGGGCAGTGTCTCCTGCGAGCTGCATCTCCTAACGTGATTTCCGTCCCCTCCACCCCAGGAAGGGCGTTGGCGCCTCAGAGGTGTCTGAAAGGCACCACTGAGACGTTCATTCCACAGATGCCCCCTCAGCAGACAGCTTTCTTAAGGGTGGGGGCAGGGAGCGGTGTGTCCATGCTGCTTTGGACGCCTGGTTTCTTCTTAGGCCTTGGCCCCAGCAGCTGAAGGCGCAGTCCTGGCTGCCTCAGCTTTAATGTGCCCCCACCCTCCAGCCTGAAGGAGTGTAAGGCGGCTGGGGTCCTCCCGTGCTGGAAAATGTAGCAGCAGGGACCCCCTGGGTCCTGGGTTCTCCCTGCCTGGTCCTGTTCTGGGCCCACAGTGGAGACGGCTCTCCACTTCAGGCTGCAGAGAAGACTTTCTTTTTAGTCAGTCTGTGGAGAAGAGTAATGCCTTTTGGGACCACGAGGTTTTGAAGTATGAATGCGGTGACATCTGGAAGGGGTGTGGGTGGCAGATGGTCTCATGCCACCCAGGCTGCCTTGGGGCTCTGTAGCCCAGCCTTGGGGCCCAGGCCTGCGTCTCCATTCGCTCCATTCACTCTATTCCATCTGCATGTTGACTGCTGTGTAAATGCTAACTCTCGGTTCGCCTGGTGACCAGCCCTCCTTGAGTCAACTCCTGGGCCCCTGAGGCCCATGTCCACCCACTGCTGCCTTTTCTGGCCTCTTGGTCCACTGCTCTGCATGGGCGGTCACGTACACACTTAGGCTCACAGAAAGCTGCCTCCACCACACCCCACCCAGCAAGGTGTGCACATCCAGAGGAACGCTGTCCCTTTTAAGGGCATTTTCCAGTTGGGCTGTGTCAGCCCAGTGGCCTGGGAAGTCTTTTTCTGATCAAGTGAAGCATCCCCTGACCTCAATTCTGAGCCCACCCTCCCCTCTGGATGTGCTTTCGACTCCCCTTCTTAGCAGGTGCCCGTCTTACACCCCTGCTGCCGTCTGTCGCGAGTGGTCAGTGTCACCCATAGTGGGAGGTTCGGAAGGCTTTGCGGGTGAGATGAGGTTCGGGTTGGGCCTTGAGGTCTTTTCCCCTGGCTGCTTCTCTGCACACTGCTGATATCAGTATTAACTTGAGCTTACCTTTAGCACCATTTCCTCTCCCTCTGGTTTCAGGCAAATCTGGAATTACCTCCAAATGTGGTTTTCAGGGGGTCAGGTTTCTCATCTCACCGGGACCTCCCCCAGTCCCTCCTGTGTCTGGACGAAGACCTTAGTGCCCTGTGGGGCCTCGCTCCCCTGATCCCAGCTAGGAATCCTAGTGACCCCGCGTGCGCCGCCGGTGGTGGGGGAGAGGGCAGAGAATCTGAGACCCCTGTTCTCAGTGTGAGCTTAGGTGCCCACTTATCAAGCTGAGAGCTGCTTTATTCTAGGAGCTCTTTGGTTAAGTCAAGGGCAGAATCCAATTACACCATTTTACGTAAATTCGATCCACCTAGAATTGATTAGCGATCCACTTAGAATAGTGGATCCACCTAGATGTCGATTTTCTAATTGAGCCATGGCTAGTGGTCCTCTTTGCACATGAAGATGTTTCTGATCCTATCTGCCATTACCTTGCACTTCTTTCTAAAGTCATGTTTATTTTGCACATTTTCATTGTAGGAAAATTCTTCATAATCTGGCCATCCAGAGGGTAAGGGCCGTGGGAGGGAGAGTGAAGAAAACCAGTCTGCCTCTAGGCTGGTTCTGGGTCAGCGGTCGGAGTCCACGTGAGCTCCAGCAAGAGCGCTGTGGGTGGAGGTGGATGGCGCTGTGCTCACCGACCTCTTGGGAGCCTGGGGCTCAGGGAGCCCTCCGGTGGTGCTGGGTGAGCGGCATGTGCCTGCTGTCTCACTGAGTGTGACGGAGAGGGGACGCGCTCCTCTCCTTCCTTCTGCACGGGACACAGCTTGGCTCCCGTGCTTTGGGGGTTTGTAGACCAGAGCAGCTTGCTTGTGTTTGGAGGCGGCAGAGAACAGCAAGAGGCGGGTCGTGGGCGCCCTGGAAGGGGCGGTGAGAGACTGAAGGCGGGCCCTGGTAGGAGCACCCTCCATGGATAGCGCCCAGGAAGGCTGTTTAGGGCCACATGCGGACTCCCCAGCCAGCCCCGCTCCTGAGCTGTTGGGAAGTAGATGGAGGAGGTGAGGCGACCTGAGCTGAGAGTCATGCTAAACCCATCTGGTGTCCTCGGGGGAAGGGCAGACATACATGTTATCTCAGGGACCTTTCGTGAGCAACTAATTTCTTAGACATTTGTGTGACTGTAGCATTCAAGTGGATTACATTTTTGACCACTAGGAGGCTCAGAGATTAAGGTCCAAGTCTAAAGACAGAACAGGCTCTTTCAGTTTTCCATTTGCTACAATATTGTAAAATAATTAGCCTCCAATTAAAAAATAAAAAAATTTCCATTTGTGCATCAAGCCCTGCTTTCATTTTATTTGACTTTGCTTTCTTGATCCTTTATTATTTTCTTCCTGTTACGTACATCTCTTAAAATTAGTCAAATCCTATTTTTGGGATTTTAGGATGAAGTGATCCTATAAATTTATAAATTATATTAATTGAACCATGAAACATAAAAAAGAACTCGTCTTGGGTTGTTCTTCTGGCATCTTCCTGGCTACATCAAAAGGATGGAGCAAAGGAGAGGGGAAACCAATGAGCTCGTCGGGGGGGTCGGGGCCTGAGATCTCACATCCCTTGTATTGGACGGGCATCTTCCTTTCACTGTTCACTGTGGCTCTTCGGACGTGAGTAGCTGTACCCACCCAGGCGTCATTGCCTTTTGTCCATAACCGAAGGCTCCTTGGTCTGCTGGTCTTCACACGTCTACTTTGCTACGTCCTCCCGCGTCTCTGTGCTGGGGAATCTGACATATTGGGGACCTAAATAATAACAAGGTTGACGAAGGATAAGAAGAAAGGAAGGTGTTCCCGTAGGGCTGAATCTTGCCTGACTCTTCTGATGTGTTTCCCAGTTCGGGACCAGAGCTGACACGCTCCACACTTGAGAAGGAAGGGAAGGGAGAGCTGGAGGGTCTTCGCGGGGATCCTTCCCCCTCCTTCCTCCACCTCCTCCCCTTCTGGGCCCATTCAGAAGAGGTTGTAGCTCGAGGTTGGGGTTTCCTTGATAAGGTCTTACTCTTTCATCCTGGTTGGATGGGGTGTAGGCAACTCTTTGCCTTCTAGACTCTGTTACCCGTGAATTCTGATTGTGAATTAGAGATCTGGGAGAAGTAATACCTTAGAATTGGACACGACTTCGATCAGAATCCACAGGAAACTTTCTTCCTATAGGAGTCGGGATCTCAAGTGTAGGTTTAATAGTGGTCGGAATGCACTGATGTTCTGTACATCGTGGGACAAAGATGAGATCTGGGAGAACATGAGTCATGATCTCCCTGGAGGAGAAGTCCCAGCTCTTATTTACATGTTTTCACAGAACTTCTTTCGAGCAGTTGCTCAAACAGTGACCAGAGACATAAGGCTGGCCTTCCTGGAGACAGGGCAGAGACCTCAGACACTCATTATCATTCCCTTGCTGTTTGCAGGGCCTTGAGGTCAATTACAAATGTCAGGGTCCCCTAAGGCTGACCAGCCAATCCAGGCAGGTACAGGAGCTCTTTATCTATCTTGACCACTGGCCAGGGTCAGCACAACGGAGAAGGTAATACTTGAAGAGAAACCCTACCCGAGGGGGTGCCTGGGGACTGGGCTGGCTCTCTGTGGACCTCACGTCCACAGGCTGCTGGGTGCTCCT